TAACCCTGAACCACCAGCCTTATTTTTAACCTGGCTGACGACAGGTGAGAAAGATAATCCGAATGAAATCAAGAAGAGTGCCTGATCCCTGCCCCACCCCCTGCCCCAGTTTCTGCTAGTCCCTTTCCTCGGGGCGAGGGGGGGGGGGGCGGGCAGAGCCGCCTGGAGACCCTCCCCCCGGGGCATGGGCCCAGATGCCGAGAGCACTCACAGAAGAAGAGATGGTCCCGCTTTGCCTACCAGACCCCGGACTCGGAAGGATCCTGACGCAGAAAGAGAAACGCTCGAGGCTCCGGGGCTTGAGCAACCCGGGATGCCCAAGACAGAGCTGGGTTTTCTGTCTGTCTGGCACACGCTCCTCAAACGTTAGTGAGCAGAGGAAGCTTCTGGAAAGCTTATAAAACACAGATTCCCGGGCCTCTCCCCCAGAAATTCTGATTCCGTAGGTCTGGGGTGGAGCCCAAGAATCTGTATTCCCAACAAGCTCCCAGGTGACGAGGGGTGGAGGGGTGCACCACACTGTGAGTGGCACTGAGCTGGAAGCAAGACCCTCTGGGCAACAGCGGTTCTGCCTGCCCTTCACCCTGGGTGCTGCCAGATGTACCCCACCAAGACTGCCTCAGGCCCAGGCTCTGGAGAGCCCTGAAGTCCGTGCTGAGTAATGTAGACTCCACGTGGAGCACCACAGGGGGCCTTGCAAAGATTTTAAGAAAGCAACAGGTGAAGCTGTTGGCTGTCAGGCCTAAGCAAGCACACCACACCTCAAGGTGCCACTGCCTGCCATCAGTTGCAGGGAGCGGCCTGGAGGCAGGGAGGGGGGCGGGGGCTTTGCAGGAGGAGTGACAGAAGGATGGAGAGATGGGCAAATTCAAGAGCCACAGAGGGGGCCGAAGAGACAGGAGGGGGTGATTGACAGCTGTGGATGTGGAGAGGAGATGAGGGTGAAGGGTGGGATTCCTGGCTTGAAGGCTGGGGTGTCGGGGAGCCATACCAGAAATCTGAGGCAGGGAAGAGGGGGGCTGATAAAGAATTCATACTGATGGGCACGACAGAGGCGTGTGCTGTGGGCCACCCCGCTCTCAACACCCCCCCCCCCGGCTCTGGCTCTGTGGAGGGCCCGCAGATGAACCCCCAGAACCTCCCGGGGCTCTGTGTGAAGGCTGCGACTCTGGCCGGAGGAGTCCTGCCACACAGCCTCGGAGCACTGGGAAACCAGCCTCACAGGCTCGCGTGACCAAAAAAGGACATTTTCTCAGCTGGAAGGTTCGCCCAGCCCGTCCCGCTCCCCCCACCTGGGGTTTCAGGTTTCCAGGGAAGTGTCTCTGAAAAGCTGAGAACTCTGAATCACACGTACCCAGGGGCCCACGGATAGGAGCCTGGGGACGTGCACGCACCACCCTGAGCTGGATGTCACAGACGTCTTTTCCTCCCTCGCCTCTTTCTCCTCCTCCACCCCCACCCCCACCAGCACCCCCACCACTATCATCATCATCATCATTCAGCCCCATCCCGGGCTACGCATTTCCATAAGCTGCCTCTCGGTTTTCACAGCAGCTCCAAGAGGGGAGAATTGGCAGCCTACAGGCGGAGACACTGAGGCACAGAGAGACACAGCCACTGACCCCAGGTGCACAGGGCGAGGAGGGCGAGGCCACTCGTGCAAGTGCAGGGGTGGAGGCCACCTTTATTTACCTTTGTTCATGGCGTATCCATCGAGGAAGTTTTTGCATGAATTTTGACTTTTAGAAAGATTGCCTTAAAATACGATTTATCCAGATTACCAAGGGGTTTTTTTTGTTGTTTTTTTTTGGCTTCCCACTCAATTCAGAGCCTGGAGGGAATGACTCAACCTGGCCCCAGCCTGGGCAAAGCCGAGATTGGAACCTGGGGCTGCTGACAGCAAAGCCATGCTTTTTACTGTCCCCTGCACTACCCCCCCCCCCCGCCCACACACATGCACCTGTGTGTGTTCACTTAGCACATTTCATTCGATAGAAGACTCCTGTAGTAGCCCTGGCTGGTATAGCCCAGTGGGCTGAGCACGGGCCTGCAAAACAAAGGGTCACCAGTTCAATTCCCAGTCGGGGCACATGGCTGGGTTGCGGGCCGGGTCCCCTCTGGGGACACACAAGAGGCAACCGCACATTGATGTTTCTTTCCCTCTTTAAAAAAAACAAAAGTATTCCTGGAGCAGTGCAGCAGAGTGGAGAGGCCAGAGGCTTGGGAATCAGACGGTTGTGGACTTGAACTCCACCACTCACTATTGAGTGGAAACGTAGCCTGTGGTAAAGGACACAGACTCTGGATCCCAGAATGCCTTGCTGCAAAATCTCCCTCTGTCACTCGCTGGCTGTATAAGTTTGGGCAACGTCCTGAAAACACTCCCATGCCCTGGATCCCTCCTCTTTAAGGAGGGGTGATGGTAGTACCAGCTGCCACATGGAGTTACTGGGGGACTTCAATGCGTTAAGTTCTGTGAAGCCCCTGGCAGGTAGTAAAGTAAACGCTTTGTCATGTTAACTATTATGGGCGAGATACCTGAGACTCAGAGTCCCCACCTGTGAAGTGGGGACATAAAAACTACCTCCCGGGCAATTTGAGGGCTGAAGGGGAAAACGCAAGGGCCTGGCACGTGGGAGGAGCTTAAAGAAACTTTCCTCCCTCACTGCACCCCTGCCTCCCCCCGCCGCCCTGTACTGGAGACTGAGGTGCAGGGACGCAGGCTCACCAGCTCCCTGAGGGATCAGCTCATCTGCGCAAGCGGACACTGAGCAGACCTTCCACCTGCCCGAGGCACCGAGTTGTCACCTCCTGATCTCAGGGCCCTGCACGTGCTCTTCCCTCTGCCTGTCCCCACCCACCTCTTACGGCCTCCTTCACGGGTGTCTTCAGGTCTCATCCTCAAGGAGGCCTTCCCTGACCACCCCACCCCCACCTGGGAGCTCTGTCCTGTCGTTCTTTTCCGCATTTTCATTGCACTCCCTGCGCTTCCTTCATGGCGTGTTTTACAACCCGAAGTAAAGCCCTTTGCAGCCCGTTACATTGTGTTAAATGCTTTTCATTGTTTGTTTGACAGTGAGCGTGGGGACCGGGCTTGTCTCACCCACTGGGCTCTCCATCCTGGGCCTCTGGCCTCGTGTGGCTCGTGCTCACACACACAGGCTCTGGAGTCGCCTGGGGTTCACAATCCCAGCTCCTGCACTTAGTGATGCTGAGACCAAGGGCAAGTTACTTAACCTCCCTGTGCCTCGGTTTCCCTTTCTGTACAAAGGGAGTATGATAACAGCAATGGCTTTATAAGGCATCGTGATGGTTACATGAGATAACCTTCGATATTCCTTTAGAGCCGTGCCCAGCACATTCATAAATGGGGCTGTTATTATTTTAGTAGGTGCTTCTCTTAGGCTAGACTAACAGCTAAAACAAACATCCCTGGAATCTCAAGTGCTTAACGCAATATATGTTTAAGACTTGCTTAAATGTTCCACATTAAAAAAAAAAAAGTAAATTGTGCCCTGGCTGGCGTAGCTCAGTGGATTGAGCATGGGCTGCAAACCAAAGCATGGCAGGTTGGATTCCCAGTCAGGGCACGTACCTGGGTGGCAGGCCACGGCCCCCAGCAATCGCATATTGATGTTTCTCTCTCTCTCTTTCTCCCTCCCTTCCCTCTCTAAAAATAATTAAATAAAATCTTTTTAAAAAAGTAAATTGTAATAAAAATGTTTAGGTGCTTTAAAAAATGTCCCACATTTAATGTTTAACTTCAGTTCTTAAATGTTCCAGTGTGGGACTGTGGGAGGGGCTTTGCTCTGTGCCGTGGCCATTTATGGATCAAGGTTCCTTCCACTGCGTTTCTTAACCTGGAGTCTGGGGGGCCGGGGTTCTCTGGATGTCATCCAGGGCAGTCCTTGAACTTGGATGCTGTCTTAGGGTAGGTTCCCTAGAAGCTGAGTCTGAGATGGAGATTTTTCTGCACACGGTTAATGAGGGAACACTCTCTGGAGAGAGTCGAATGAGAAAAGCAGGATTGGATGGAGAAGTAGCTACGCAAGGATGTGGCCCTACCTGGCGTCCCGCCTCCCACGGGGACTCTGGCGCCTGGCTTGTACCACAGAGTTAGTGCCTCATGGGGTGATAGGGAACTGGGGGTATCATCCGTCATTGGTTGTGGGCTGTCTGGCGGCAGGGCGGAGGTGGGGGGAGTGTTTTGACCTTGTAACAAGGTAGCTTCCATTGGTAGCAATTCTCTGGGACAGCAATGAGCCATTAAAAGCCAACACAGCACCCCAGGGTGGGTGCATCTGCCCAACAAAGGGATCAGGGCAGAGCACCGGAAGTGTGTCTAAGAGATGGGAAAACTACATCTTTATTTTTATTTACTAGCCTCTAACTGAAATTTAGCATTTTCTTCAATTATGGGAACAGGCAATTAACTACAATAGTACTAGCAGCATCTGTGACTTTGTCACCAGTAGAAATCATGTATTTTCATGTCATATTACTGTTGTTGCAGGGATCCTTGAAATATATTTTCTGCTAATCTGTACTCTAAAATTATCGTGTATAATAGACCTGCTAGATACTGCAGGGGTCTGTGACCCAGAAAAGATCAAATACCCTGTTGGGGGCCTTGGCCTCCTCTGCCTTGTACCCTCAGCAGGGGAGAAAGGAAGGACACGGAGGACAGTAGGAGAGGTTTTCACGGGCCAGGCCTGGAAAGAGCACACATCACTTCTTCCCACAATGCATTGGCTAAGACTCAGCCTGACCATACCTAGCTGCAAAGGAAGCTGGGAAATGTCGTCTGTCTGTGTGCCCAGAAAGAAGAGCAAAGGGTCTGGGGAATGCACAGCAGTGTGGCCCATGGGGCTCAGTAAATATTCACGGACGGCCCGAATGACTGAATGCCCTGCCCAGGGTGGCGCTTTGTGAGCTGAGAAGGAGGGCCCGAGGGCTGGTTCTCCGGAGCGACCCTGAGTTCCCATCATGTTGTCTCCTAGGACAAGCCATGCCAAGGCCAAAGCTGAGGCTGCGGAACAGGCCGCTCTGGCCGCCAACCAGGAATCCAACATCGCCCGCAGTCTGGCCAGGGAGCTGGCCCCAGACTTCTACCAGCCAGGTAGGGCCAGGCAAGGAGGGAGCAGGCAGGGCAGGGTGCGGGGAGGCCCCCGGGGGTGGGCATTTTTCTTCTTCCTCGCTGGAAAGCAGACGTGCCCGAGTGGGTTCACGATTGCCCGTGAGTTCTAGAAACTGTGGGGCATGGTGCGAGCATAGGGTGGTGGGGACACTGGGGACTCCCGCTGAGACTGTGGTGTGGACTGGCCCCACTCTGGGCTGCCTCTTCTTCCTGAGACATGAGGCTGCAGAGTAAGGAGGACCTTCTGCCTCTGACACAGACCTTGCACTTGGATAGAGTGATGGGAGCCCCTCAGGGTGGGATGTTGTTTGTGCATGAAATGTTTTAAGGTGAATGGAATGATTAGATTTGTTTTCTGACCGTCAGAGCTTGGAACAGGTCTGTACCAGGGGAGGCTAAGTCGCTTCTGGTTCCAGCGCTCCCCCTGCTGGCCTCAGGAAGAATGACACTGTCTGGCTGCCTCTGCCTTGAGGGGCGGGGCGGGGCGGGGGTCATAGCGACAGCTGTCAGTGTGTGACCGGCCCTGCATTTTTTCACCCAATTAATCATTCTATTAGGTGAGATTAGACCAGTTTTTCAGATAAGGGGATGGAAAGAGACCAGTGTCACCGCTCAGAACATAAAGTCAAGAGCCAGACTCCCTGGGCGCTAGTTCTCTGCCCTTTGTCCGCTGGGTCACTTTGGGAGAGTGATTTTGTCTCTCCGAGCCTCCGTGTCTTCACCTGTAAGGTGGAGGTTCATGGCATCGACCTCGTGGGGTTATTACAACTGTTAAGTGAGCTCGTATTTGGAAATTGCTCCAAACAGTGCTGGGCACACAGTAGATGGCGGTAAGTGCTGGCTGGGTAAATAAATAAACGAGGCTCCGCGAGGTTAAGCGGCTTGCCCAGGATGGCCCAGCGCTGGGATTCGAACTCATCCTCCTGGTGCTCCTACCCCGGGCAGGTCCGGAGTATCAGAAGCGCCGACTGCTCCAGGAGATCCTAGAGAACTCGGAGAGCCTGCTGGAGCCCCCCGACCGGGTTGCCGGCGCCGCTGGCCTCCCGGAGCGGCCCCGCGAGAGCCCGCAGCTGCACGAGCGCGAGACCCCTCGGCCCGACGCTGGCCCCCCGTCGCCGGCCGGGACACCCCCGCAGCCCAAGCGGCCCCGCCCGGGGGCGGCCAAGGACGGCCTGCTGAGCCCAGGCTCCTGGAACGGCGAGTCCGGCACCGAGGGCAGCCGGCCGGTCACGCCGTCCGGTGGCCACCGCAGCCCGGCGCGTCCCGCCACCGAGCACATGGCCATCGAGGCGCTGCAGGCGCCGCCCGCGCCCTCGCGGGAGCCGGAGGTGGCGCTGTACCAGGGGTACCACAGCTACGCGGTGCGCACGGTGCCCTCCACGCCGCCGCCCTTGGAGGAAGAGCCCTCGCCCGAGGTCTACGAGTCTGACTCCGCGCCCTCGACCCCGGCCACCGCCCCGGTGCAGGCCCCCGCGTTTCGGGCCCCGGAGCCAGAGCCCGCGCCCGAGCCCCCAGCCAAGCTGGAACCCAAGCCCATCGTCCCCAAAGCCGAGCCCAAGGCGAAGGCCCGCAAGACGGAGGCCCGAGGGCTGACCAAGGCTGGGGCCAAAAAGAAGTCTCGGAAGGAGGCAGCGCTGGCGGCCGAGGCCGCGGTGGAGGTGGAGGAGGTGAGACAGGTGGCGGAAGGAGGTGTCCAAGGTCGGGTTTCTACAGGTGGCTGATCTTCAGGCAGGATTGGGTGTGGGTGACTCGGTGGGGAGGGTGATGGGACAGCACCGACAGGGGGAGACCTTAGCAGGGATGTGGGCTCAGTCAAGTGCAGCCCCATCCCCTGTGGACTTGGGGGTGTAAATTGCACTGCAGTACCCCCCACCCCCCACAGGGGGGCAGGGGGCTGGCCTTTTACCTGTTACCTGGTCAGCAGGGAGCAATTCTTTGGAAAAGGGAGCACCTGGGGGTGGAGTGGGTGCACCTGCAGGGTCAGGGCGTTCCCAGCGGGGCACCGGCAGCACTGCTACAATGTGTAGCAGGGAGGGCTTCCTGGGGGTGGGGGAAGGGCCCACCAGGGCTTGGGTCCAGCCTCCAGGCTTGTTAGAGGAGGCGGGGAGCTAGGGATTGCAACAGTAGCGAAGCGGGGCTCCTAGGGAGTGCCGAGAGCGGCTCTGGAGGAATCAGCGCGGAAGGCCACATTCCCGGCCCCGGGCCACCGTGTGCTTTGGGACACGCTCTTGCCCTGCTCTGGGCCCCGAGCGGTTTGGTTAATTATTTTCAAGAGTTCTTCCAGCCCCGATGGCCTGCTGTCCGGGTGCTGGTCCCAGCAGGGAGCAAAGCAGGGAGGCGCTCTCAGGGGGGTCCTTCTGGAAGTCCCTGCTCCTCTGCGGACCCTGCTGCGGCGGCGGGGTCGGGGGCGGGGCCGGGGGCGAGTCCGAGGCCACGGGCACTCAGGCAGCGCTCTCCGCGCCCCCAGGTCCCCAACACCGTCCTCATCTGCATGGTGATCCTGCTGAACATCGGCCTGGCCATCCTCTTCGTTCACCTCCTCACCTGACCCTCGTCTACCAGGTTCGCTGGGGGGAACGGGGGTGGGGGGGGGGGGAGCCCGTAGAAGGTTCTGGGCACCTGGGTGTCGGAATGCTGGAGAAAAGGGCCTGCTGCCCACTGGGCCTTCGTCCCGCGGGTCACTGAGGCCCATCCCCACGGGAGGCAGGGACTTGGGGTGTGGCTTTGGCAGAGGGAGGCCCAGGGTGGGTACAAGCACATGCACGCACACGCACGCACACGCACACGCACGCACCTCTCGTTAGCTCAGCATCCACAGAGCACCTGCTTTCCGCCCGGTGCGCGCCAGGGGCTTCGCTCGCGTATTCATTCGTCTGACCGACATTTGCCGGGCACCTGCATGGCTGGGGTGTAGGGATGCAGCAGGGACTCACTCCTGTCCTGAGAAACGGGGTCGTGGGCGGGGAGGGGGGACACAGTGGGGGCAAACCCTCAATGTCCAGCGCATTCAGTGAAAGTCCTGTGGCTCAAATGTCAAGCAAACCCGTTCTTGCCCCTGTCCCCCAAGACCCTCACGGGTCAGGGCTGCGTTCACCTGGGTTGGCCGGACCCTCCTCTCCCGGCCGCCCTTTCTCCCTTGCCCCCTCCCAGCTCCCAGCTCTTCTCCCGACACCCCTCTGTCAGGCAGGCAGTCAGCTCCCTCGGTTGGTTTCCTCCCCGTGGTGGAGCTGGGAGGGCAATGAACGGGGTGGGGGGGGTCGAAAGGAAAGCGGGCCTCACGGTCTCAGGATGGAGGATCTACAAGACAGAACCTTTCTCCTGCCGGGACCAGGCTCCACAGGGTGGGCCCTGCACTTGGTGATGCTGACGGGCTTCCTGCCCCCACCAGGGGCCCTCCTCCCTGGATCCCGGCTTAGCACTGGGCTTGGGGACCCACCCGGTCCCAGAGGAGGGGAGGAGTCCCTGTCCCGTCACCATGTAAACACAGCCGATGACAACCTCGGCCTGGCGGGTGCCGGCCTGGGGGCAAATGCCTCGTGTCTCTTAGGGGGTCTGGGAATGAGAGCTGCAGGAACTGCAGACCTAAGGGTCTGCAGGACGGAAAGGGGTGAGCCAGCGGGCCGTGGGGGAGGAGGGAGGCGGTGAACCCCCCGAAGGGAACAGCACGTGCAAATGCGCAGAGGCGGCCTCCAGAGGGAGAATGAGGCTGTGCCTTGTGAGGGCTGGGAGAGGCCCAGGGCCTTGTCTCTGGTCCCCTCAAGTGTTAGTCACGGGACAAAGCTGCTCTAGGGGCTTGGGGGCCGGTGGGAGCATCTCGCCCCTGAAGCTTGGAGCCTGCCTTGAACCTGGCCGGGCCTCCGTGCGCCCTCCCTCCCTCCCTGCTTCACCCGCCCCTGACCCTCGTGCTGTCTCCCTGCAGAGCCAGGAGTTCCCGCTGGGGACGCGAAGACCCGTCTCTCTGCAGTGCTGCTCAGGGTGGCCGAGGAGGACTGGACTCCGGACCAGAGCCCTGGGTCCCAGCTCACGCCCACATCGCCAACAATGAAGGGGGCCTCCCATGGTGCCCTGCCGGGCGGGCAGAGGAGGTGCCCAGAGGCACAGCATGTGCTGGAAACCGTCCTGGAGCTCCGCCCGGGGCCAGGAAAGCCCCGATCTGCTCCTGTCCCTCATCCTCATCCACTCCTTCACCTTGTCCCAAGGTCACTCCCTCCCTGGGCTTTTGTGTGTTTTGGGAGAAGTCACGGAACCAGAATATTAATGAAATCCGAGCCCCCTTCCTGCTTCCCTTCTCCCACTGTATTTTAACTGCTGGCTGCTGGGCCGACGGACCCCTGTGCTGGGTCAGTGGTCGGGGAGACGCTCTCGGACAGTGCAGAGTCCCCTCCCCCCACTGTCCGAGCCGGCACACACGCTGTCCCCTGCTTACGGGTGTTCCAGGTGGCCATAGAGGAAGCAGACATGCTCGGTGTGCATGCTCCAGGTCGCAGCGCTCCCGTCTCCTCGTGCCCGTCCAGCTCGCCCCCCTCCCTTCCTGACCAAGAGAAGAGGAGGAGACAGGAGGGACTGGAGCCTTTGGCCAGGAAGCCACTGACCAGGTGGCCAGGGGCGGGGGTGGGGAGAAGGGCTAAGAGGAGTTAGGATGGCCCTTGTCTGTGTGTGTGTCTGAGCCTGGGCTGGCATTGCATTTAGGGCTTGCACTGTGCCCTGTGGATTGGTTTGGCCGCTTCCCCCACCAGGGCCCACCGCAGGCTCAGGGGATGTTGAACACGGAAGCCTTGGGAAGACCAAGCAGATTTCTCTGTGTGTGGGGCGGGGGGGCGACATTCAGGCAAGCGCTGAAGACAGGCTGCTTGTCACCAGATACCTCCCAGGGCGAGAGGAGCAAGTCCAGCGCCCCCACCCAGGGCGATCTGCATGATAAGCCCCTCGGCTTGCGTGGCAGAAGAGGTTTGCATGTAGCTCCTTACAGACGTTTGGTACCACACTGGGTCTCTGGGCCCGCGTGCTGGCTGGGGGTGGGTGGAAGCTGAGGGCTGGTGGCCTCCCGCCCATGGGAGGATGGAGACAGTGTTCCAGGCCCCTCCGGGCTGGGGAAGCACTTGGCAATGACATCCAGACGGAGCTGGAGGAGCTGCCACTCTCCTGCCTTTGTTTCCGTGGACCTGGGGGCCTTGAACTTGCGACTTGGCCTCCCCAGGCCAGCTCTGCAACTGGAAGTTCACTTCTGATGGGGTTTGCTTTCCTTCACCCCCTGAACACTTGGGTCCAGCGTCCCGCTTGCTGTTTCAAGCCCCGCTGGGACCTCACGGGCTGCATCTCCGTGGACAGAAGCCTGTGGGTTCTCCCGCCCTCCGCTGGCCAGGGCCCCTGGCTCTGCGTCGGTGTTTGGGCTTTTCTGGACTCCTAGGGAAGGAGGGGGCAGGTTGGGGGCACCGCTCAGGGCTGACAGGCGCCAGGCCTCGGCTCTGGGGTCACGGTCCAGGTTTCTTGGTCTGGCTCAGGGCCCTCAGCTCCCGGGCCTGGTTTGGGGGCTCATGTTTGGGGCAAGGGGTCAGGAAGTTGCAGTCTGTGCATTAATAAACCTGCATCTGCTCACAGGCGCTGGCGGGGCTGTGGTGTCTGCTTGTGGGCCCAGGATGCTGGACTGATGCGGGGGGGGGGGGGGGCGAGAGGGGCTGGGGGTCTCTGGGCCATGCTGGCCTAGGCTCCATCTCATGGTTCCTGTAATACCTTGTGAGGGGCGGCTCAGAGGCCATGACCCTGAATCTCTGAAGATGATTTCCGGAAGCTTCCCTGAGCAGCATATGGTAGAAGAAAGAGCCCCTTCTTTAAGGTTGGGTCCTCCTGGGCCCCAGTCTTTCTCACCCACTTATTTTACTTCTCCGAGCCTCAGTTTCCTCCTCTGTAAAATGGGGAAGGAGGTAGAACCAGGTAGCTCCTGGGGTGGTGGCAAGGATTGCATCGATGCTGAAGCTCACGTAGCACCCCGCTGTAGAGCGCGGTTGAGAACGGGGACTTGTGGCACTGCCGTGGCACTGTAGTGCTGTCATTAGCCCTGCACGTTTTGATTGATGACCTCAGAAGCCCCACGGGGGTGGAGATAGTTCAGGCCCTGGTCAATCACAGAATGTCTCGGGGGGGGGGGCCCAGAAGCCATCTTCTAACCCTACAGAGGAAAAGAGACCTTCCGAGGTCACACAGCAAATCGGTGGCAGGAAAGAAGTTGTCTTGTGAATCAACACTTTCCATTACATGTTGATTATCGGGGAGGATCCCTCGCCCGTCTGTTACAGAACAGACCCAAGAGGGGCGTATGATATACTATTACCGAAAGGACTCCCCACTAGGTTCGCTATGCCTGCCGCCAGAGGAAAGACGTCTCTCAATGCCAGAGATTTGTGAAAAGGAAAGGAAATATTTATTTAAACCTATACAGACTTACAGTAGTGACTTAATGTCTTCATTAAAATACTAAAAGCCTTTAGAACACCCACAGACACACACAGTCCTTCCTTCCCCCTCTGCCCTAGTCTGAGGGGGTACCGTATCTCAGGAAAAAAAGTAGAAATCCGTGATTCGGGCTCCCAGCACCATCAGCTGTGTCGCCGCCAGGATCTCCAGTTAATCCAAAGCCATGTGGCACCTGCTCATGGCCCACCAGCAAGAGTCCTTTCATCCTGTTTCTTCCAGGCAAAGTCTCTCCTGCTTCCTAAGCCACGTGGTCCTCACTCTCACCAAAGCTGCATGGCTCTCCCCTGGTATGGCTGCCACACCCGAGGTTTAAATCCCCGCGCCAATCTTCCTCTGCAGCCCCGTTTCCGACGACTCCTACAATCAGTTACACCTGCCAGCATTCCCGTATTCTTCCAGCTTTTCCGGGCGGCCATAGTGAGTCTGGACAGCTGGGCCCCTTGGCATGAAGCCAATCATCTCCAAGCCCTCACGCAGGCAGGCGCTGTAACCAGGGGGAATTGCCCCCAAGTTACATCTTGGGCAGAAGTCACTGCCATCCCCCTGGCTCAAAGCCTGGCCACAGCTATTTAACATATCTGTGAAACCAGCTAAAGGGTATAGGTATGTTAAACGACCATGCCAGAGGTTAGCTGCAAAGCGGTTGCTATGCAAACAACTCCGAATGGCCCTGCTCCAGGTGTCCCATGCCCCACTTTAGCTTGGGGGAAGGTGGGGGGGCGGTGAGGACATCCTGTATATTTTTCTAATATTTCCTGGACACCTTGAGTTCTGGGCCCCATTACAAATCCCTGTTTGGGGCCCCCGCTCTGGGCTGCACCCTGTAACACATCGGTAGGCTCGAATTCAGGCAAGTCCAGGACGATTCAGTGGTCAGGTGTCCTGGTTCCTTCCCCAGTGCTGCCACTGACTTGCTGTATATCAATCATTCCATCTGTCTGTGCCTCAGTTTCCTCTTCTGCCAAGGAGGCCGCAATCTGCACCCATTGCCTTGTTCACAGCTAGTGCGGTTGCGAGGATGGAACGAGGTGTCTTATGGGTGATAAAGAGGTTTTCCAAGCCCCAGAATGATCCAAAGATCACCAGGAAGAAGGATGGGTTGGAGGGACCCCTGGAGGGGCCGGGGGAGAGGGGCTGAGGAGAGAGTTCTAACTCCCAGGGCTTTGATAATATACTCCACAAGGAAATGGGTGAGCAGCCAGCCCAGTTGGCTGGTCTGCAGACTGGCTGTGTACTTGTGTGTGCACACGCGCACGCGTGCGTGTGTAAAATGGGAGTGACGGGTTAGGGATAGCAGAGTGGCTATATTAGAATCACCTGGGAAGGTTTCACAAGAAGGCTCATTCCTGAGTCCCTGTGGGAACCTGGGAGTCAGGTAAGATAGGCTGGAGTCTGGCGCCCCCTCGTGGCGCAGATGCAGCACAGCCTGGCTCCTGTCTCTTCCAGTCCAGGCCAATAACAACAACTCCAGGCATTTTGCCTGGTCCTCGGCCAAGTCCGACTTCATGTAAGGTGTCTTCTGCCACAGCAGAACTTAAAACCACCATGTGGGCCTTGCCGGGGACTATGACCACTGGCCACTGGCTTGGGGTCTCAGCAGGACTCTTCCCGGGAAGACAAAAGGAGGGGCCCTGGACCTGTGGGATACAGATTTGGGATTTGTGGCAAGAAGGGAATTTTCATGATCTCCGATGGGCCCACAGAGGATCTGGCTGTGCTGCAAGAGGTGCTTTTGGCTGCATGCAACAGAAAACCAGCCCGATCACAACCTTTGGAAGCCTCAAGCCTGAAAAAAATTACATGACGCACTTCGAACATGTAACTCAAAATAAAAACGACACCTAAGCTGTACAGCCCCTGCTTGCACGTATGCTGAAATGGAAATAGGCTCTTGATTTTTTTCTTTGTGCAGAAATTCTGTGGAGGCTGACTTCCTCCCTCCCTCTGCCCCTGTCTTGCTGGCCGGCCCTCCAGGGGAAGGGGAGCCGCGCTCTTGATGGAGTCAGGGGGGCCGTGAGTCAGACACTGATGTGGTGGCGTAACAGCAATACGGTTCGGGGCAATAGCTAGGAAATCAGGTCACCGGTTTGAATCCTGTCTCTTTCCCTTAACACCTCAAACCTCCTTGACTTCCCTCTCCGGGATGATGAATACCGTTTTCTGTTTGACCCTAAAGCCCAACTTGGCTCTGTTATAACCATTCTGTTGGACCCGCTACACTGCAGTTCTTCATTATGACCCCCAGGTGGCGCCACGGCCCACACGTGAGTGATCTCATAAAACGGCTCCAGAGGAGGGGGCTTTAAAAAAAAAATACCTCATCGTCACTATTGATTCACCACAATAATAACAGCTATTACAAATTAAACACTTGCGACCTGCCATGCCCTGCACTAAGAGCTTTCATTGCATTATTTCATATGCCCCTTACAATGTTTCTGTCACTGGAAACTGCATCTTACAGATAGGAAGCTAAGGTTCAAAGCCACATCTGTCTGTCCACCTGTCTTCAAAGCCCGTGCTCTTAACCATATCTCCCGTGGAGGGCTCAGAGGCTGCACCTGGCTGGCAAACGTGTTTTGGCCAGCGTGGTGCTTTAAAACACACTGAACTTGAATGCTCTTAGGCTGGGCAGATGCTCTGCACTTACCCACAGTCCTGGGCACATTGGCCCAGGAGTAAGATGGAAGCTGGCGGAAGAGCCACCTGGCACTCTTCAGATTGGAAGGGTCCACCCAAGGCCAGCATCGGGGAAAAGACCCACCTACATGTACATCACCATCAGATTTCAAGACATAGCCGACAAAGAGAAAACCTCAAAGCTACCTGAGAAAGGGGAGAATCCAAGCCACATACAAAAAAGTGAAAAATCCAATCTTTCAGCAGCCGTGCTGGAAGCTAGGAGGCAGTGAGGCCGCCACACCTTCAGAACTGGCAGAAAAAGACCCTGAGGTCTCCCCCAGTCAAACCATCAACCAACTGTGAGGGGAGAATAAAAACGTTGGCAGGTCCCTGGTTTTCCCATCTATGTTTTCTCGGAAAGCTACTGGCAAATGCGTTCTGCCGCAACAGAGGAGCAGAACAAGAATGGGAAGTCAATGGGATCCAGAAAGAAGAAGACCCTTCCATGGGGATAAGCAAGGGGGTTTGCTAAGTAACCTTAAAAGGAGGCTTCAGGAGCTGGCGGTAAGGCGGCGGGGAAGGGGGGCGGGGTGCAGGGGGGGTGGGGGGAGAGAGAGAGAGAGAGCAAGTGCACACTGGGGCACCGAGTATCTGACTGTGCAGGCAGAGTGAGTTCCTAGTTCTGTGAGGTTTGGGGACAAATGAGGGACAGGGGGAAATTAAACACATGAAGAACAAGACACAAACATTGGTTCAAGGGAAAATGTAATGAAAGAACACAACGTGCCGGCAGTAAACATTCGTTTCCATAGTGATCATGTCAACGTGGAATATGGACGTAGCCACACTTGTTTTGGAGCTTCCATGGGAGATCGGGAGAAGAGGAAGCAAAGAGAGAGGGGTATGAGCACTCAACACCCTTTTTCCACAAAAAGAAGTGACTAGATTCTTCAGGCTGATGTGTGACCTATAACCACATCCCCCCGGTGACAGCTGCAGCTGGGGGCGGGGGCAGGCCGGCCCTAATATCTGCAGGTGAGTCTGGGATACAAAGGGAGCCCCCCCCCAAGAGTCCACCACCCTTCCTTCCCTCCTCTGACACCCCTCCTGCAGCAGCAGGGCCTCCCCCCACCACCCCCACAGCCCTGCTGCAGTGGCGGGGCCTGGGGTCCACCTAGGTTGCACGTCCAGTTCTGTCCACCTCCCTCTGCCCTGGATGACACCCTTGGCCACCTCTCAGGGGTAGGAATGCACACTCCAGCAGCCGAGAGAACTGGCCACAAGCCCGCACAGGCCCTGGAAAGTGCAGCGTGGTGCAGAAAGGTGGCGCGCTCCAGGTGGCATGTCTGCTTGGCTCCACGGACCCTAACCACCCCGAACCCTGTAGGGAGGGCGCCAGCCGGAGCGGGACCCCGCAAGGCAAAGCCCTCCTTCCCAGCCTCATGCAGCCGAAAGCCCAGCCAAAGGTTCTGATACATCAGTGGTTCTCAACCGGGGTGGCTTTCCTTCTAGGGGTCATTTGGCAATGTTCGGGGAGATTTTTGATTGTCATGCCTGGGAGGCAGGGGTGCTACTGTCATCTAGCAGGTCTGGGCCCGTGACACCATTAAACTTCCCACGGCGCACTGGATGGGGCCTCCCCCCACAGAAAAGAATCACTCAGCCCCAGACGGGTGTAGTGCCGAGGCTGAGGAGTGCGAGGGTCTGAGTGTGAGCCCCGGCTGTGAGTGAGGAGGCCGGCAGGCTTGGGGGCGGAGTCTGACTCTGCCCCTGGCTTGTCCTGGGACCGGTTCTTCCATCTCCCTGCACCTCTCTCTGTGTCCCCACCTGTACAGTGGGGCCCGTGGCAGCCGCTCCAGAGTGTGGGTGTGAGAAACGAAACGGACTTGGCCTGAAAACGCCTGACCCGGAGCAGGCCCTCCGGAAGTGTCCAGGTGCTCCGTGGCTGGGGGACAAAGGCAGTGCATGTGTAATATTTACAAGTGGGTTCAGTCAAGCAATGGCAGTAGGTGCAGGTTTATTTGTTAAATAACAGGAAAGAGCTAAAAGAGCTGAGTGTGCAGTGCGAGCTGGTGGGAGTCGGGGACAGCGGAGGACAGCCGTGTCGTGGGGAGCCGCACGGTCAGTCAGTGGACTTTTTAAACTCCGCACCTGCGGTGCTGAAGTTTTAAAATCGAAGTCAAGGACCTCGGACATTCACGTTCTTCCTCCCGTGCAGATGCTAATTGCTGTCGTAAAGCAGCGTGGAACTGCTGTGTCGGGCCCCACGGGCATGCTTTCTCACTGCTGAGCCCTACGGGGCCCCGCAGCTCTGGCTCCTGGGGTCCTGCCTCCCTCTCCCTGTCCCCTCCGAGCCCGTGCTCATCCTGAGGGGACACTAGGCAGCTTGGGGGGCCTGAAAAGATACCACCGACCGGGGCTTCCCCGACAGAAAATGCCTCACAGTTCTGGAGGCTGGATGTCCAAGGTCGAGGTGTCGCCAGCTTCCGGTGAGAGCTCAGGTGGCAGGTGGCTGTCTTCTCCCTGTGTCCTCACGTGACGGGGAGAGAGATGGAGAGACGGACGGACAGACAGACAGAGAGAGACAAGCTGCCTGGTGTCTCTTCTTGTAAGAGCATCAACGCCATCATGAGGACCCACGGTCACGACTTCATCTCAACCCGGCCACCTCCCCAAGGCCCCATCTCCAAGTCCCATCCTTTTGGGGGAGATGACTGCAACATGTGAATTTTGAGGGGGACACAGTTCAGTCCATCGCCGAGGGGAACAGCCAGATCCCAGCCGACCTCCGTGTCACTTCTCTCTTGCCTGGCCCCCTGCCCAGTACTTGGCCGGACTCCGTCCCGTCCCCTGGGGGCAGTGTTACATTCACGGTGCCCATGTGGTCGGCAGAGCGAGCCAGAAGTAAACTCCGTGTTAAAGCCGCTGAGATGTCAGGAGTTGTTACTGCGGCAGACCCTAGCGCATCCTGACTAAGCACATCGGACAAGAAACTTCCCCTTCCGGTGTGGAGACTAAATAACAACAATAATAGTTACTGTTCTGAGCCCTTTCTGTGTGTTCACTCGTGGTTACAGCAACCCTTTGGAAAGGGGACTCTTACTGTCCCCACGTTACATACGAGGAGACAGAGAGAGAGTTAGGAAGCTGGCCCAAGGTCACCCGACGTGTAGCAGCAGAGTCGGCGTTCCTCAGGGCGGGCTGTGCCCAAACCCACCTCCCTCCTTCCCTCCCTTCCCAGCGCCACCCACACGCCCCCTCCGAGTGAGAGCTCACCCTCCAGCATCTGCTGGGCCTGGGGTTGTTAGTTGCAGGCAATTTGGGGACCAGAGCTAAGTAACAACCGATGTGTTGGGCAATTAAAAAATATTCTGAATCTGTGGTAGCACATCAGATCTTTTCTGCGTGTGAGTCCTCGCAAGCTTCCTGGTCGTGAAAGTTCGTGTGGGCGCGATTACGGCCGGGCGGTGTCAGGACTAAGCATGCCTTCCCTCTGGGGCGGGCAGCTCGGCCTTTGCCCAGCTGTGCCTCCCGTGAGGACCCCAGTGCGGTTGTGGGGGGACCTGTGAGCTGGAGAATCGAAGCAGGTGCCTTTCAGCCGGGAAAGGCAGGGGGTTCCGGTCCCTGGGCCGGCTCCAGGGACAGCGGGCGGGCTGCAGGCAGGACCCGGGGCTCCTCGCAATGCCAGGGCTCTGCCCAGGGTCCAGGCGCCACCATGCGGCTTCAGGTGTGGTGGGCCCAGGCCGCAGCCTGGCCTTGGCAGACCGGGGGTGCCACGGTGGCAGCGGCACCCGGTCCTTGGCACGCTTGTGGAACCCAGGGTGGCAGCTCCGGGAGCAGCTTCGGGGCCGGGTGCAGCGTCTGTGGCACAGGTCTCGGTGCCTTCACGGCGGCTGTGGCCCTGGGCCCGCTGGGGCTCCTTGGGCTGCGGCCATCAGCATTGCAGGGTGGCTGGGAAAGCACGCCACAGACTGTCCCCAGGGAGGGGACTCCTTGGTGAACACACGGGAACCCCGCCCGCCCCTTGGGCAGCTTTGGGTCGGTTTCGGGGACTGCAGGTCCTGCATGTGCAGGTCAGGCGGAGCCAGTGAATGAGGAACACTACTGATGGGGCCCCACCCTGCTCAGCGGGCATCACGAGTTTGTCTCCCTGGAAACAGGCAGGGCCCCGCCCAAGGTGGGGCTTTGTTCGCGTGATTTATGGGGAGGGGTGCGCTCAGAGGGCAGAGAGGCCCTGGGGCGGGGGCTGCCCGAGGATGCTGCTGCAGCTGCAGGCCTGCCCCGGCCCGCCCCTGGGGAGCGCTGCAGTGTGCTTGGTGCCACAGAGCTGGCTGCTCCGTTATTCGGTCACTAGCTGGGGGCAGCTCTGGGGTGGGGTGGGGCGTCACCTCCCGGGCAAGGGCAATGGCTGGGACAAAGTGAGCGGCTGTGAAGAGTGAACAGCCGACACTCAGGGGCTGGGGGATGGACGCCAGCCAACAACGGGGTCTGGGTGAGGAGCCAGCAGCACCCACTACAGTGGGCCCCGAAATCAGCCTTCTTGTACCTTCTGCTGACCGCTGGCTCCACCCCACTCTCTGGGGCCACAGGAGGCACCCACTAGGCAATCCCCTGCCATCTCGAGGCAAAGTATTTAGACCCTGTGTGGGCGTCTCTGAGCGTCCCTGCGGCTGAGAGGCCGGCTTTGGCACGTGGACCTTTCCAAAGGACTCCGGAGCTCCTGGTGCGGGCCGAGGGGGCAGGTGGGGCCTCTATCTCCAATGCAGGAACCCGTGGCCTCATGCCCTGGTACTCTGGGCTGCTCGGGGGTGGGGAGGGGCCCCGGCGATGCTGCTTTCCCCAGCGTAGAAGAAGCAGGGGCTGAGCATCACGCCGTCTGGGTTTTCCCTGTGCTCCTGACAAGCTCCTCAGGGGAAGGAGACTGTCACCCAGTGAAACATCTACGCTTCAGGTTGGAACGGTGCTCCCAACAGGAGAGCGCGCTGGTTTTGTCCGATGGTTTGGTTTCCATCTCTCTTTTTCCAGCATGGACTACAAAAAGCCCCCCAGGGAGGAAACTGCTCACGGAGAAAGTGCACCCCCTCCCGGAGCTGAAGTGGGGGTTGCATGCTTGGAGGACCAAAGGGCCAGGAGCTGCCTGACAGGTGGGGGCTCCTAGGTCCCCTCAAAACAGCTGCCTCATGGGCCCGGCAGCAGCAGCCTCCTTCTGGCTCCTCCATGCCAGGAAACTGGTCCTTTTTCCAGGTACAGTCAAGAGGGACGAAATCATTACTCCTTTTTTTTTTTAAAGTATCACTCCCTGTGTAGCTAGCGCCCATGTCGTGCCCTTTCCAACCGTCGCAAGAACCCTAAGTGTCTGCGCCCTTGTCTTCCTCCTTCACAGAGGGCGGCTCCGAGGCCAGAGAGGCCCCCCCTCAGGGGCAGACCCCCGGGGGGCGGCCCCATGGCAGGCGAGACTGGACCCGATGTCCCCCGAGTGCCATCAGGGGCGCTCCCCTGGCAAAGGTGCCGCCCCCCCAGGTACCACTCTCGGGGAGGCCTGGCCGCCCCCTGGCTGACGAAGCACAGGAAGAGGCAGACGGCGCGTGCTCGACTTTTCAGACGTTTTATTATAAAGACGTGTGAGAGAAGCACTGGGCACTGAGCCCGACGCTGGCCGGGCCGGGAAACAGCTGCAGACGACACCAAGAACCCAAACCCAAACCAAACCCCACACCACGCACGCTTCCCGGCACACCGCGCGCCTGTCCTCCGGTCCTCTCCGCGGACAGGCGGAAGCCGTCACTGGCCGCATGAGACAGACGGGCAGGGGGTGGGGAGAAGAAGCCCCCCCCCAGTGCGGCTGAGAGCGTCCAGGTCCCGGCCGTGCGGACGGCGGGGCGGCCGGGCAGCCGCCAGCTCTGCGCGCGTCTCCCTTCAGATCAAACTTAAAAAACGTGTGCTAAGGGTCATATAAAATGCTTTTTTTTTTTTTTTACCTTAAAGGAAACTACTTCTTTCCCCCACAAAATAATCTTACAGATGTCTTCAGCACAGTTCTAAAACACGGAGTCAACTACTTACACGGAGCCAACAGTTCAAGATGTCATAATCTCTTGTTCACACCGGACAACCACGTTTGCACAACTGTGGCTGGGCTGGTCCCCGCCCGTGCATCTGGGGGTGGGTTTCCGTTGCTAAGCAACCCCTCCAGGAGGAGCAGCCCACGTGAGCCTGGGCTGGGGCCAGAGGTCCAGACGCAGGGTTCGGTGTGCAGGACGAGGAGCAGGGTCCACAGGAACCCCGGAGCAAGCAGGTCAGGGGGCGGCAGTCTCCTGCAGGTTCTTTGGGCTGGCGGCGGGCGTGGGGCTGCCTCTGCAGAGTCTGGCGAGAGGTCGAGGGAGAGACTCAGCCGTGGGGCGTCAGCGTGTCACTGCTCTCTCTTCGTGGGCGCCCTGCTTCCTGCCAAGGCTTCTTCTTTTCTGCTCTGGGCCCCTCCAGCAGCCTCAGGGAGGAGAGGGGAGGCGGGATTAGGTGAGGTAGAGAGATTTATCCCGGGGGAGCAGGCTGCGGGAGAGAGGAGGGGCTGTCAGAGCTGATGCGGCCCGCCGCTGGCGTCAAGGGCTCTCAGGGGCCTGGACACAGGGCCCCAGGAGCAGCAGGGTAGCTGCTCACTGGCCCTTCGCCCCCACCCCGGACGCGGCTGCCCCTGAGGATGAATGAGGGGCTGTGGGGGCCCCTCCCTGTCTCCCCCACCGGCAGAACCAAACACCCCTCCGGGAGTCCCGGCAGGGGGCCGCCGTGTCCTCAGTGCGGCCAGCAGGTGGCAGCAGTGTGTCCACCCTCCTAACCACCGTCACTCTCAGGGCACTATTTTCTTCCTTTTTCAGTTTTTACATGTGAATATTTATTTATTTAGTATAAATACATTTAAAACAATTCTGTTTTATTTTATTTTTTCCATCACCACTTATTCCCCCCATATCATCCTCCACCTCCACCTCCCCCCTTCCCCCTCCCGGGTAATTTTTTTTTAGTCAATGTTTCTTTTGTAAATCTCAAACTTAAGGGAGGGCGGGTGCTTTCTTTTATGTTTCTAACATAGGGCGCTCGTTTGTGAAAACACAGATGACCCTTGAAGGCCTTATACTAAGCGAGATGGGTCAGACAGGGAAACACAGGTATGGTTCATGATCTCACTTCTCTGTGGAATCTAGACATACCCCTCCCCTCCCTCCCCCCCCCCCGCCCCCCGACACAAAAAGCCCCAGTTCAGAACTACAGAGAACAGGTTGGGGGCCGCCCGAGGCAGGGGCTGGCGCGGGCACAATGGGGGAGGGGTGAAAAGGCACAGACTCCCAGCGGTAAAAGGCACCATCGGCCCTCGGGTGTGACGTCCCGCACGGCGACTACGGTGGGCAACACCGTACTGCGTGTTTGCAAGTCGCTGAGAGAGTAACTCCTAACAGTTCTCATTAAGGAAAAAACCGGCAGCTATGTGCAGAGATGGCGCTCACTGGACTTATTATGGCGGCCGCCTTAATACATGTACACATAGCGAGTCATCACGCCGTACCCGTGAGACTAACGTGTTCTGTGTCGTGATGTCTCAAAATCTAACGCACAGAAGAGGGCGCTGTTGCGGCCTGAGCTCCCTGCGGAGCTCAGGACCTGCCGTGATGGTCCATCGGAGACCCCGCCCCCGTACTCTGACTTCGGGGAAGGGCTCCAGTGGGAGCGTCTGCACCTGCTCAGGGCGTGGGGGGGACAGGCCCCGCCGAGCTGAGTCTGCCCTCTCCCCAGCACGTCAGCAGGGGGGCGCGGGCCGTGTCTGCGCGCTCGCAGTCACCGGTTGTCTCGGCCGGGCGAGGAGCGGGGAGCCGCCAGCTGGAGCTGGAGCAGCGGGCAGTGGCAGCCGACATGGCCCCGTGTCCACCTAATTCTCCCTTCCGGCTCTTTCCCACGCCCTCACCCCACGACTAGTCCACCCCCAACGTGGCTGGGGTGACGACTGACCTACAGGTGCTGATGCCACACTCCCCGCTGGGGTAACTGCTGTCCCAGTCTCCGCTGTTGGTGGTGTTGGATGGGCCGGGAGAGCGGGGTCCAGAGCCGCTGGGGAACTCGGAGATGTGAGGGAAGTCCTGCCGAGGGGAAGGGGGAGGCGGGTGAGCAACGGAGACAGAAGGGGGCGCCTGTCTCAGGCAGTGAGCGGGGACGGGGTCTGGGTGAGCCCGAGGTGTTCACGAGGCTCATCTTCGGGCTCACACACGATCTCCGCTCGGCCTGCAATGCTTCCTCCGTCCCCCCATTTGGAAAAGTCTGCGCTGTCCTAGCAGCAGCAGGGGATGAGTTTGCTCTCAGTGCCTTTCCTTTTTGGAGACTCAGTTTCCCAATCTGTAAAATGGAGTTAGTGGGCTGAGGGACCTCATGCAAGTCCTGGAAGAGTGTCTGTGGGAGCGTTAGTGGGGCCAGGCCCCGAGGGCTCTGGGGACAGCCGGGGCCGGGCTGACCGAGCAGGGGCCGCAGTCCCTCAAGCTGAACAGCAGCAGACAGAGGATGAGCGATGGAGGGCCTGGAACATGCTAAGAATCTGAACAATCTGTCTGGCAACTTGTCAGCTCTTTGCTGCAGCCAGGACCTCTCAGACCAGGTGTTCCGCACCCAGTTCATTGACGCGGTAGCTGAAGCTCAGAGAGGTCAGGCACCTGGGCTGAGGCCACACAGCTGGCGAGTGGCAGGAAGTGAATTTAAAACCCCAAGCAACCTCCCTCTCCACAAGGGGTCCCAGAAGGGCCGTGCCTACTCAGCCCTGCTCACCTGTGGCCCCGGAGGTGAAGGGCTCATAGCCAGCTGCACCTGGAGTGCCATGGGGGTGGGCAGGACAGGAGGCTGGGGGGCGGGGGACATGCTGACAGGCGGGCTGAGGAGGGCGCCCTGAGCGTGGGGGGGCAGCGGCAGCTGCTGGTGCAGTGGGGGGCTGAGTGGGAAGGAGGGTGGTGGCGGCGGGGACGCGCTTAGGCCTGGCAGCAGCGACTTGGAGCCCAGTGTCCGGGCGAGGCTGGCGGGGGTGGCCCCGCTGCGGAAGGCCTGCAGGTCAGAGGGCGTCAGGAGGGAGGCCAGGCCTGGCATGGCGTACACGGGCTGTCTGGGTGGCAGCATTTTGGCCGGCGGGTTGGCCTGAGTGCTCTTGGTCTCGCCCTGGTCTGGGGAGCTCTGGAAGGAGACAGACACCAGTCACCCTGGAGAAGATGGCGAAGCCAGAATCTGGGCTGTGAGACAGGGCCCGGGCCCTCTGTGCATGCTCCTCCCCAGCCGCTGTGCCTTTGCACGGGCGGCACCCATGATTTGCAGTGCCCTCTCTGCCTGGCCCTTTATGGTCTAACACAGATGCTATGTCCTCTGTAACAGCCCAGACAGCACCCTGCCCCACCAGGGCTGCCTGGCCATGGCCACCCTGAGCCTTCTCGCTGCTGGTGTTGGCGAAGGAGGCAGGTAGTGTGGTCAGGACCACAGGCCACATTTGAAGAGTGGCCAGACTGGGTTTGACTCCTCGTACAGCCACCTGACATGCTGGATAATTTGAGGCAAGATGCTTAACCTCTCTGAGGCTTGGGTTCTCGTTAGAAGAATGAAATGAAACAAGATACATGTAAAGAGGCCGGTGTGAGGCCGGCACGCAGTAGGTGCGCTGGAGAAATGACCACAGTATCTGTCCTTTCCCGTGGACCTCAGTGCCTGCTCCGCCCCTCGGTGGTCCCACCGTGCCTAGGAGTCCAGCGGTTACCTTGGAGACCAGGCTGGCCCTGTAGGCCGCCAGAGCCTTCAGGTATTCCTTTTTCGCCGCTTCGGTCTTCCTCTTGTAGGCCTGAAAGATCCAAAACGTGAGCAGCGTGGGGAGGGGTTACGTGGTCAGCTAGAGGTCACACCACTGCGAGCTGGCCTTCGCCTATGAGCTATTTCTACTCGGTCTTTCCCAGGGAGGCCCCTGAGACAGGTCTGCGGGTGCAGGGTCAGTGGGACAGGAAAGCTCCGGTCTGGAACCCAGACTTCGGGAGTTGGGTGGGGCACAAGACGGACTGAGTTGCTCTCGTTTAACAAACAAAGGAGGAAGCAGAGGCCCAGAATGGTTAAGTCACTGGGGAACGCAGCTGGAGAACAGCGGAATCGTGAGGGACCTGACTTCCCATCTTACAGATGGGCGAACTGAGCCCAGTCAGGACTCTGCGGGAGCCTCTGGTGGTAGAGGCTGGGCCTGGTTCTCGACCTTCCAAGTCTGTGGCTGGCTCTGGGACCCCAAAGCCTGGGGCGGGGCGGGGGGTAGCCCGGAAAGGGGTGGAGACTCACCTGCTTCTGCTCCTCTCCCAAGCTGTCCCACATGGAGGCCACGATTTTGGACACGTCCCCGAAGGTGGCGCTGGGGTTCTGCCCCTTGATGGCGGCCTGGGTGTCTCTGAAGAAGAGCGCGTAGGCCGACACGGGCTTCTGCGGCTCATTGGGGTCCTTCTTCTTCTTCTTCTTCGGGTTCTTGGCCTTTTTCCCTGGGTCAGCTGAGGGTCTCTTCTCCCCCGACATCTGCCCGGGTGACAGGAGTCAGAGAACCTGAGACGCCCAGGGACCCCTGCCAAGGCAGACCCACCCCAGCCTCGGGCAGACCTGAGCTCTCCTCAGCAGCCTCCTCCCCCCCCTCCCCCGCCGCCGCCCTACTGGTCAGGTCCTGCTCGCCCACAGGCACTGGCCAAGCCAGGAACACGGGCAGCTGTGGCCACACCGTCGGGCTAACCACTCCCTAGGCAGGGGGGGCAAAGGACAGGCAGACCAGACACACACACACACACACACACACACACACACACACCCCTCCTGGGTGGGAGCCCTGGGTTTTTTCCTTTAACTCATTAATGGCACTCAGCATGATGGTAAAGCCGATTCAAAGAAATAGGTAGAGAAACTGGTTAATGCCCCATGGAGTAATAAAACTATCACTTTTAGGGCTTAATTTTATCTCTTCTACTGGACACAAGTCATTCGTATCTCTACAGGGAAACATTAATTCACCTTGTGATCAGGCAAAAGTCGTTTACATCTCCGTCACCTTTCCCCCAAGTTAACCCTTATGGAGTATAAAAATCTCCTGATCGATAATGAAGAATGAATCAGAATAAAGTCATGCAACTGCTCCGTGCCTCAGTTTCCCCATCTGCCAGTGGGAGAGGATAATGGCACCTTCCCCAGAGAGTTGTGGTGAGGATTACATGCATTAATACTTATGTGCTTAGACCACTGGCCCATGGGAACTGTTGGAGAAGTGTTTTCTAAATGAAAAATTAAAATAAAAGCCACCCCTGCCTGGTCTGTGGTGGAGAGCAAGTTACCATGGTGATGGGGCTGGACCAGGACCCGGGGGCACCCGCCCCAGTCAGGGTCTCTGATACATGGCATGGGCGCCGTGGCCACTGCCCAGGCCTCTGCGGGGCCACCCCGTGAAAGGGGTGGGAGGCCCTCATGAAGAGGAAAGAGGGCCAGGAGCTGTGGGCTCAAGACGTGATTCTGCCGCCAGCTCATGGGGAGATTCCCAATAAGCATGTCCATCCCTGGCCCTCCTGGGCCTCTGTTTCCCACCCTAGTTATGGAGGATGCTCTCTGACAGAAGGGAGATTTGGTCAGTGCCAGGAAAGGGCCGGAGCCTGGACAGCTCACCCTGACCTGTGCTTGAAGAGGCTGGACCACCCCCGCCCCAGCGGAGGGGTCATTTTTAGAGCCCCAACAGAGGTCCGTGCTGCCCAGGGGCGCCCTCTGCTGGACCACGCATCGTTGTCAGAATATTTTCTTCTAAAAGGCCATGGTGGCCTTGAGACATGACCCTGAGATTGCCCATGCCATCCATGTCACTGGAATGACCCCCTGGCCATTCAGGAAAAAGACTTCACTCTTTTTCAGAATTTTCTCCTTCCTTGTTTTCCAGCAAAGGGTACGGTCATACCCTGTGAGTCTTCTCTAGAGGTAGGCGATGCCTGTCTACCCCGCTGACGGGAGGGCATCCTAAGACTTTGCATTTCCGCTCTCACACCAACCTTGAAATGCGCTTCTGACTCCTCCTCCTGAGTAGAGCTGGAGGGAGAAGGGGTGGCCGACTTGCTCCCTGGGGGTGACGGGGAGCCGTGGGCGAGGCCGCTCCGGAGCCCCATCTGAGAGATGAGCGGGGACTGGCTGAGGGCGCTCATGTGGCTGGCCAGCATCGCGGGGCGGCCCAGCAGGGGCCCTGGGCGGCCCGAGTCGTAGGCAGCGACCTCCGAGTGGACCATCTCCTGGATCTGAGAGAGGAGAGGGCAGGGCATGTTCAGTTAGAGAGGACCCATCCGGTGCCCCATCACATGCGCATTGCGGGGCCCCAGGGAGGGCATGTCGGTGAGAAGCGGAAGGTGACGGCTCCCTCGTTCTGAGCTGCGGTTTCCCCCTGGATCCGACAGGTGAGTGCCCCCACCACTCCGAGGCCTGCAGGGTTCAGCGCGCCTGTGGGGAGACCTGGCACCTTGGGAGTTTGCCATTCTGTTGCCATTCGACATGGACAGACATGTTCAGGATTTCAGGCCTGGCTGGAGAGCTCAGGCCAGCTGAGAATGGATCCTTCTACAATACGGAGCCTTCCCTCCTGGAACGCGGTATGTCTCTGCTTTTCTTCACTAGGCCGTGTGAGGGCAAAGAGCACAGGGGCTGGAAGCCAACTGTGTTTCGAATCCTGGTTCAGCCACTTACAAGCTGGGTGACTTCGGCCAAGTGACTTAACCTCTCTGTGCCTTGGTTCTTCACCTGAAACATGTGGGTAAGAGTTAAACCTACCTTCTAGGACTGTTCAAGATTAAATGTGCCTAGCACATAGTAAGTCCAATGTCGTATAAGGGTTTGTTAAATACAGAGGGTAAATAAATCCTTTAGTAAAGTTTTGCATTTTTTTTCCTGTAGCTCAGTAGTTTCCTTATTAACTATTTGCTAGGATATTTTCTAACTGGTTATTTTTGGAGTGTAAGAAAGCTACCGATTTTTACATACAGGCATTTCTCATACTAAGTACACATTTAGAATAGCGCATACTTTTTCTTTAAATGTTATATATAGATACACTGTTCAGCAAGGCATACCGCTTTGCATATTCTTTCAATTATTTTTATTTTCTCTGCACCTGTGGTTATTTTCTCTTTCTAATTTCTCATGTCAAGTACCTGTGTTTTTCTCTCACTTTTTCTTCATTAGGCAAGCTCATGGGTTTTCTATTTTATGATGTGGGATATTTTTTTCTCCTCAAAAGAATCAAATCTGAATATTTTTTTAAAGATTCATTTATTTACTTCTCAGAGAGAGAGGGGAAGGGAGGGAGAAACATCAGTGTGTGAGAGATACATTGATTGGTTGTCTCTCACATGCTCCCAAATGGGGACCTGGCCGGCAACCCAGGCAAATGCCTGGACTGGGAATCGAACTGGCAACCTTTTGGCTCACAGGCCAGCACTCAATCCACTTTGCCACACCAGCCAGGGCAAATCTGAAATTTCTCGTTCACCCTACTCCTTCTGTTTTCTATTTCTTTAATATCATTTTAATCTCTATTGATTTCTTTCTCTGATTTTTAAAGATTTATTACTGTTGCTTCCCTGTGAACTTTGAACTGTAGTTCTAATTCAGTTCTCTACAGAGGGTTCCTCATCTTTCAGGTCTTAACTTGAATGCCATGGCCTCAGAAACACCATCCCTGACCACTTTGTCTAAAGATCCTGACCCCTGCTGTCTGTCATCGTAGCTGGTTCCCATCATTCTTCCAAGCTGCAATTATTTTGTTTGTTTATCGTCTCTCTTCCCCTCCACGAGTAGAAGGCTCATTCACTATTGTATTACAAGTGTCTTAGGTAGTGCCCGGGACACAGAAGGTCAGCATTTTAAAAACATTTGTTAAAGGATGGAAAAAGGAAGGGAGGAGAGGATGCCACTCCTGGTAAGAAAAACTCCCCAGCTGCCTCTTTTCCTGAAAATACGGGAGGATGCGAGGTGTTTACGGCAACAGAACGGGGCGGAATCGGGGGGGACTGCAGCGGACGTGGCACTGTTGGCTCTTCCACGTCCTCCTTTGACCCAGACTTGGGACAGAACGCCGCGTTTGCCCAGCGGGACCTACAGCCCCGGAGGAGTTCATGGGCCGGTGGGACTCAGTCTTGTCTGCATCTATTTTTTTCCTTGTGTTTCCTTTACCTCATGGCAAAGACAGCACACACACACACACACACACACACACACACCCCAACAGAAAGTATACAATAAAACGATAGAAGAATAAATAAGGATAAGGAAAATAATTGTCAAAGTATATATAACAATATTGTTTAAAAATCAGGAAAATGAGTCCATTCACATTTATTTTAAAGACAATGTTTGTTCATAGACATTGCGGCTTTTTGCTTCCTGGATGCCCTGCACCTGCCCTTTGCTGACCAAGTTTCATCCAGGGATTTTTATGCCATTGTACTACAGCTCTGAGTTCTTAAGCAAAAAAATAAATAAATAAAATTAAAAAATTAAGCTTTTAATTTTTCTCCTATCGGTGGTTTACGTCCCAGATTATTTTTTTTCATTAAATAACTTGTTTCAATCATCATTTTGACAGTTGCAGTGAGTTTCATACCCCGATAACAACGGTGCTCAGACACTAAGTCCAGGTTTGCTGGTTTCACTGCTCACACCATTGGTTCGCATGCCAGGCCTTTCCCACACTTGCCTGCTTCCCCTGGGGCAGGGGTGCGATGTCACTGAGCACCCCTCGTGCTCTGCCGGTGGCCCCGAATGTCTCCTGGAGGCTCACAGGGTTCCCTCATGGAAGCCCCTGCCTCAGCTCCTGAGGGTCCGGATGCTTCCCCTTCATCTCCCAGCTCGATTGGATCCCAGAGGAAAATCAGGAAGCCATGGACCAGCGCTTTACAATCCCTTCCACAGCCTCAGAACAGCCATTTCTAAGAGGTAACAGCCCTGTCTTATAGAGGATGCTAAAAATAGTAATAATAACACTCACTATTAGATTTAGCGAGGCTCACTATGCGCTAGGCACTTCCTGAACAAATCTTTGGCATGACACTATCACTGCCCCCATTTTACAATAAAGATACTGAAACTCAGAGAGGGTAAGTGACTTTTCCAAGGTCACACAGCTAGGAAGTGAACAAATCAGAGTCCTGGCTCTGTCCCAAGACTGAGGTCTTTTCACTGCACCCACATGGATCTTAACTGGCTCTGATATGGGCGGAAGGTCATGGACCTGCTCCCACAGGGCAGCTGTGAGGGTCCAAGGGCAAGATAACTTGATACAGAGTCCGGCACATAGTAGGTTTCCTTTCCTTCACTCCCTCATGAACTTGCTGAAGGTATGAGCTTGAACCGAATCTCAAATAGGCTAAGAAGAGGTCACAAACAATGGAAGTTTCTGGAATATGAGAGAAGACGAAAACCAGGAGGAAAGCCCCAATGGCAATAAAAATCACAGGGGCGCTTCACAAACATTGGTTACATTTATTAAGTCAGTCAGTTACTGGCGAACTTCTATAAAGGGGCCACATATAAAATACAGTATTTTAGGCTTTGAAGTCCAGATGGTCTCTGTCATAACTACTCAACTCTGCTGTTGTAACACAAAATTCAGCCATAGGCAATATGTAAATGAATTGGTGGGGCTGTGTGCCAATAAAACTTTATTTACAAAAACAAGCAGAGGGCCAGATTTGGCCCATGGCCATGGATTGCCATCTCTTGTGTCAGTCGAATGCTGTTCCATGAAAGAAAGACTGGTAGAAGCACTACCCTGTATCAGGCGGCTACCAACTGCTGGGCACTGATCTCTGACCACTTTCGTTCTCACCCGGGCACGGGAGGAAGGTGGGTTTAGTATCAACATTTTACAGAGGAGGAAGCTGCAGTTCAGAAAGGGAAGTAGCATGCCCTGGGTCTTTAGAGCTGGAATTCAAATCGAGGTCCATCCTCAGGCACTCTATCACCAGGTGCACTGTCCCTGGCCACGCCCCGCCCCGGCCACCAGCTGGGATCTGGCTGGGACTCACACTGCAGCCTCCCTTTAAAATCAGAAAGGCCTGGGCTGGGGACAGAGATAGGGCAGTTGGCCGCTGTCCTCCAAATCTGAGCATCCTCTGCTGTCTTGAGCCTCCCTCTCATGTCCTTGACGGGGCCTCCGCCTTGCGCTGCCCTCACCAGATCCACCCCAGGTCGTTTTACTTCTCTAGTCCTCCCGGGTCCCCCAGATGGCTCCTGTTACTCATTCACTCACTTGTTCATTCCAAAAACCTTCCCCGAGGGCTGTTATGCCTGAGATCCTGGGCTAGATGGAGGAGACCAAGGTTAGACCGGAAGTGCCAGATCTGAGTGTGCAGTCCGATGGAAGAGGCAGAGGTGCACGCTCGTAGTTTGAGCCAGTGCAGCAGCACAGGTGATCAGAGGGACCTGGGCCAGGCAGAAGGGGGCCCTCCCGAGGCCCGGAGAGCCAGAAAGCCTTTCCCGGGAGAACACTCTGCGCCGACTCTTGAAAGAGAAGTTTGCAGAAGACAAGCAGGAGTGTGGAGGGCATTCCCTGGAGCAGGAGCACGTGTAAGGGCAGAGAGGCCTGCAGCAAGATGATGGTTCATTTTCTGCGTCAACTTGACTGAGCCACGGTTGGCGACACGTGGTCAACCACTATTTTGGGTGTGTCTGAGAGGGCATTTCTGGATGAGTTTAACAGTTGAATCAAAGGACTGAGTAAAGCAGATTGCTCTCCCCCCAGTGTGGGTGGGCCTCATCTAATCAGTTGAAGACTTGACTAGAACAAAAAAGCAGCATAAGAAGGAACTTCTTCTGCCTGACTGCTGGGACATCGGTCTTCTCCTGCCCTCAGGCTGGAACTACAGAGTCAGCTCTCCTGGGTCTCCAGCTCGCTGACTGGAGATCTTGGGACTTCTCAGCCTCCATGATCATGTGAGCCAATTCCTTCTAATATCTGCCTATCTATCTTCTATCTATCTATCTATCTATCTATCTATCTATCTATCTATCTATCTATGTGTAACCCGCTCCTGGTTACACATCCATCCTACCAGTTCTGTTTCTGTAAAGAACACTGACTACCACAAGTGGCATGATGAGCTCTGCAAGCTGCTGATCACAGCCTGGCACAGCTGGAGTGTCAGGAGGAGTGGGAGATGAGGACCAAGGGCCATCCGAGGGCGTTAGGACCCGGGGGGGCCGGGCCGGCAGAGGCGGAGGTGCGAAGCAGCTGGCTGCAGGCTTT